CATAATGTAAGAAAATGCATAATAGTTTTAATCGCTTGTTATATTATGTCAAACTATTTTTAAGGCTTATAATACGTTTTAATCATATACAATATCCAATACGTCTAAATATTATGTCTATTAAAAAAAATCTACCTTCAATTATTTAATCTATTATAGAACATATTTACACGGTCGATTAACTATTTTTTTTTAACCACATCAACAATTTCGCAAAATAATAATAATAATAATAATAGTAATAGTAATAGTTGGCAATTGTGTGAAATCTAATATTATAATATTATTTTATTAACATAAAAATGTCTATATTAATTTATTTAAAAAATTATCTTTCACTTCTACATTGTCCCTTTTCGTAAAATGACCTTCTTTCCCAATCCAGAACAAGAATAATAGTACCTAATTACTCAAACGAAATTCATTCTCATAGACCTTGTCGCTCTATTCTATTCTGAATTAAGTAGATTTCTAAACACATTTTCTCCTATAAAATCCTTAAAAAATAAGATGTAGTACAAGACCCTGAAAATTGTTGTTATTTGAAAGATTACTTTTGAAAAATACACTGAACAATAATAAATAGTTTAGATTAAACTTTGGATAGTAACTAATATAATATGATTGGTTCGAGTAATAAATCAATCCATATTGATATTTAAAATAAATGCTTACTATCGCATCCATTTTTAATATTTACATATTAGATATTTATATCTTAATTTAATATACCAATTGAAATAATAATACTTATGTTGTATTTTATAMAACTTGACATTTGTGTAAACACCATGTGAAAATCATATTTCTCACAATCAACGTATAAATAACTGAAAACTATTTACTCACAGATCGCAAGATAATATTTTAATTATTATGATTAAATAATTATATCGTATACGTGTTATCATTTTTGAAACTAAAATAATCACTATTATAGGTAATAATATACAAAATTATAAAACTATATTTCACTACTAAGTATTCTAATGCCTATTATAGTGGTACCTACATAACATTTTAGATAAATGATAGTATTGAATTTAAATATTAC